CGGTTATCGGTTGTTTGAATAATAAAGTGATGGTCACGGAGGTTGATTGGGTCTAATGAATACAAGCTGTGATTGGCCGGACTAATCAGGTACTCTGGTCGGTATTATGCACCCTCACCATCCGTTGCTTCGACCCTTCGGCAATACCGGGGACAACCACGATTCCGACGAATTAGAAACACGGCTTGCTTCCCAGTGGGATCGTTATTTCAAATATGTTGAAACATCTAAATACAGAACTTGATTCAAACCATTTTTTTAACAAAAGAACGTTTTCTGAGACTATAAAATATCGATCAGCAAATAGCATCCAAACAGTGTGAAATAATGTTAGCATATGTGCTGAAGTAGAATTAGAACAAAAGAGTGTAGAAAAATAATATTTACTACTGAGCTGGCATGCCAGGTTTAAACTAAACTCATGAAAAATCGGAAAAAAGAAGACAAACGTCTATTATTATTCAGCAAACAGGAATTCAGTACTAACAATTGCCCGTTAAACAATTATCTGATGTAAGTAGACATATACTTGCCAACTCTGTTAACAGGTACTTTACTGTCATTGATGAAAGATAATAACAACACACAAAGAAACAATGTAAGAAAGTATCATAACCGTATTTATTACTTCGGTTAGGTTCATATCGATACTATAAATGTATTTGAGTAAAAGCATTGATGTGTTAAAGTATCAAATCTCTAAAGTATCGATCAAAAGTATCGATACTCTAAAGTATATAAGCACAATTGATATAACGTTGTATTGAGGCATAAGTATTGCTACCATAAAATATCGATTTCACGAAGTTCAAAACAAGAATCTTGATCCCCTAAAATATCGATATCCTGAATATCGAAACAAAAGTATTTATGCGTTAACGTATCAAAACAAAAACACCGATATTATGAAGTATCAATATAATGTAGTACTGATAAATAGAAGTACACCATTAAGTATCGGTTGGTTACAATATCAAAACAAGAGTATCGATATGGAGGAATATCGATATCTCGTATATCGGTTTCCAGAATTATACCATAAAGTATCGAAATAAAATTATTCATGGCTTAAAGTATCGAATCAAAAGTATCAATATTAAGAAGAATACAGTAAAACATGTAACTAACAGTATTGACTGTGTAAAGGTGTAAAGTAGAGGTATCCATAAATACACTGTAAAGTATCAAAATAAAAGTATTGATTGCTTGATGTATCAAAGAAAAAGTACCAATATGATGGAGTATCGATCTTCAGAATTATACCTACCTAAAGTATCGAAATAGAAGTATTTATGGCTTAAAGTATCGAATCAAAAGTATCTATATCCAGAAGTATACGGTCAAAAAGAAACAAAAGTATTGATGGCTGAAAGTATTGATATCCGGAAGTACACCATAATGTATCGAAATAAAATTAGTATTGGCTTAAAGTATCTCAGAAAAAGTATCGTATGATGGAATATCGATGTTCACAATTATACCGAAACTTTTCGATATAAAATTATCGATGGTTTAAAGCATCGAATAAAAATCAATATTCAGAAGTATACGGTAAAACATAGAAATAAAATTATTGATAGTGTAAAGTATCCATATAAAGAAATGCACTGTAAAGTATTGAAATAAAAGTATTGATAAAGAAAAATTATCGATTTGATGGAGTATCGATGTCTAGAATTATACCCTAAAGTATCGAAATAAAAGTGTTGTTTGCTGAACGTATCGAATCAAAAGTATCAATATCCAGAATTATACGGTAAATCATAGAAATAAAAGTATTGATCCCCTAATGTATCGATATCCAGAAGTACACCGTAAAGAATCGAAATAAAAGTACTAATGGATTAAATTTTCGATTTAAAGTGTTAGATGTACCGACGTTTTTAGACTCACGAATAATCTGGATCAATGTATGGTCTTGATTAAAACACAAGTTCAACTGCTATGATTGTTACTGCCAAGCTTTAACCTATTTTATGGTCATCTTTAGGGTAAAACAACCTTAAATATGCCTACAAACTTACATAATTAGTTTTTATATGAAGATTTCAAAATTCTTTTAATACCGAACAGACCCAACATTGTCAAGTTCTATTAAGAATTTAATGTCAATTTGTAGACGTATTTAAGATTAATTTGCCCTGGTGATGACCTTAAGATAGGTCGAAAGCTTCGCAGTAACAACTGAATTTAATTTGTCATACCGAGATCCTGATTAAGGTATTGAAGCAAAAGTATCGATATCCCTCTGTATCAATATCTAGAAGTTTAGCGTAAAGTATCGAAATGAAAGTATTGATGGCTTAAATTATCAAAGAAAAAGTATCGATATCCAAAAGTACACCGAAACATATCGAAATTAAAGTATTCGTGGGTTAATTTCAAAATGAATGTTGCTAACATGAATATCAAAACAAAATTATTGATACTGCGGTATATCGAAAGAAAAGTGTTGAAACCACCATGAAACGGCACAATATTGACACCTTGAACAGAATCAATGTAAGGAAACAAACTTCAGTAACGAAACAAAATTACCGATACTCCAAAGAATCGAAGAGAGAAGAAGAAAAACTAGTTTATTTGACCAAATATACATATGTGCAGATTGCAACCTGACCCTTTTTACATTTGCGTTAGAAGTGCGAAAGACACTGGGCTTTATAACCTTCTACAACCTTAATATTGTAATCCTTTTGTATTTTGTAGCCTGTTTCGGCGTTTAGCGGGGAAAAACTGATTATAAAAAAAAAACCTTCTGTCACTTTTGATTCAAAGTAATGAGTTTAAATTATGTAAACAATTTAAAACTACTTTAAATGAGAATCACCTTTTTGAGAGATAACAAATTTAAATAACTAATATGCACAAATTTATCCAAAGAATCGAAACTCTCTGGTAATGTGTTACAATAGTAATCAAATTTCACAAGCAAATTTATAAAATCGTATTACTACTTAATTTGTTTCAAAATATACGAACTACCTAAATATACAAAAATTTCAATGTAGTTTATAAAGAAGTGATACATGTGACACAAAACAATAAATGAAAAGAAAAGAGAATTCATCTTTATTTACCGAACAGAAAGATCAATGAATGAATTCCTTCCAGGATGACAGAGTTAAACGAACCTCAATTCTCTTTCACTATAGTCTCCACCAAGACTTTTTAGTGTCAATCTATTTCCAATTTTGTTTGAGACGGCCTAGCTGGAAACTGAGTTGCTGGAATGAACAAAATCGCGTTATTTAATCCATATCAAGTTAGGTATTTTTGTATTTTCCCACTATTCGAATGGAGAATCATGCAAAACAAGCGCCATGAACATAAAATGACATTGCATGCCAACAGAAATTATAAATGATGGGGTGAGTGTAGAGTTCAATCCTTTTTTAAAAAGATGGTTCCTACTCACATTAAGTTGTTTCGCAACAATCCGGATTTCGAGCCCTTTAGCTCATCGTCAGGTTGAAGGGTTTCACAAACACGTCTCTCGACATGAATTGCAGAAGTGAACCCGCTGATACACCCGCCAACGCGACGTTCCAATGAGGAGCTGGGTTTTTAATGGCTCAATTTGAACGTGCGAAAAGCGGGAATTATAACACAAATAACAATTGTAATAGTAAATACTGTAAGAAATTAATTGTAAATTAGTGATTAAAGATCTGTTAATGCATTAATAATATAACAGATTTTGATCTTCCTCCCATTTTTCTAATTATTATTATGTTTTATAATAATTTAATAATATTAAGGTATTATTCTGATTATTTCATTTTTTATTTTTATTTATTTTTTTATCTTTAATCACTAATTTACAATTAATTTCTTACAGTATTTACTATTACAATTGTTATTTGTGTTATAATTCCCGCTTTTCGCACGTTCAAATTGATCCATTAAAAATCCAGCTCCTCATTGGAACATTATCAGCGGGTTCACTTCTGCAATTCGTGTCGAGAGTCGTGTTTGTGGAAACCCTTCAACCTGACGATGAGCTAAAGGGCTCGAAATCCGGATTGTTGCGAAACAACTTAATGTGAGTAGGAACCATCTTTTTTAAAAAGGATTGCATGTCAACTTCTCTTTAAAAAAGCGAATAAAGAAGAAAACCAGTTGAATCAAATTGAACCATCATTTCATAAATTAGAAAATAACTTCAACCGACTGCTGAAAGTTAATAAAGACAGAAAGCCGACAGACTGAGTTTAAGGCTTTAGTTGAGTGACTAAACGAAGGGTGGAGCCCTCAACAGTCTATATCGTAAGCTTTCCACGTGCAGCTTGTCGCCTCGAAGGTGTTTACTTTGACGACAGGCGCAAACATTTTATTTACATAGTCGAAAAGCTCGCCCGGTTGGACTTTCCTGTTCATCTGAGTATATTTGACGATTTATACGGGCCTAGCCGTTTGGAAGATAAAAGTGAATCAAATATATTCGAGAGGGACGAAAATCGGTCAACGATTAACACAGAATGAACTATATTAATTTTTATGTAAAGAAGGTTGAAATACTACATAAAACCGGGGGACCGCAAGTCTCCATAGCTCAGTAGAAGAGCAGTGTTTCGCCTGTTCTGAAGTCGTGGGCCAAGCACGTCTTAAGTTTAATACTTTTGCTTTTAAATCCATTATATTTAGTGGTCTATTGACCAAATTACTTCTTTCAATTAATTAATCCTTTTGTGTAAGGTTTTGGTTGAAATGAAAAAGCTAGTTGGTGTTCGAGTGGATCGAAGCCACGATTTAATAAGTAAAACGAATTATAACTCCACTAACAGCTCTCCGTGGCCACTAGGAGCACAATAGATCTATTCCGGTCGAGGTGCAGTAGGCCTTGTGGCCGCCTCTTTTATCCCTATTCCTATCCCCGTGGTCACTTCATATGTCGCCGGGAATCGAATTCTAATTACACATTTCAAAAATGGCGAAAAGGAGGGAAAATTCGAAAGGTTGTAGGTTGAGATGGGAAGTTGGTGTCCGAGTGGATCGAGGTCACGATAGCTCAAGTGGTAGAGGATCAGCGTGTTTAGCCGAAGGTCGTGGGTTCGAATCCCGCTCGTGACACTAAATAAAGATTAATTAATTGAAACAAGTTATTTGGTCAATCGGACCACGAAATATAATGGATTTAATAAGCAAAACGAAGTAAACTTCACTAACAGCTACTCGTGGCCACTTCATATGTCGCCGAGAATCGAATCCTGATTACCCGACATTTGAAAAATGTCAAAAAAGACGGAAAATTCGAGAGGTTGTAGGTTGAGTTGGGAGTTGGTGTCCGAGTGGATCGAAATCACGATAACTCAAGTGATAGAGCACCGGCGTATTTAGCCGAAGGTCGTGGGTTCGAATCCCATCGTGGCACTAGCTTTTTCATTTCAACCAAAACCTTACATAAAAGGATTAACTTTTGCTGTTGTTGCGATGGTCTTTAATGAACTAGCTATTACCGAGGACTATTATTAACAAATGGAACTGCGTTCAGGGGCAATAAATGTCCTGATGCAATTTGCCTCGGTCCTCGTTGTCCCCATATGCTCTCGTACCCAAACAAGGGCGATTTAGTTATTTATCCGAATGTATGACAGAGCAAAGAATGTATTCCCATTGATTCTGATAGTTAAAAACAACATTTTCTATTCAACAATTCAGAACTTTATTTACCAGCGTGTCATGATGCACACATTTGGAACAATTCGTGTTGTTTGGTATTTTCCTGCATTAAGATTCTGTAGTCTCTTGTGGCTGAATTTTCTTTAAAGAAAAAAAGTTCTGAACTAACAAGGTGAAACTGGTCTAGCATTTTAATAAGTTAAACTGTTAAGAAACATGTATTGACAAGTGTGAAACCTTGTGGAGTGAAATTAAATATTGAATCCATTATATTTAGTGATCTATTGACCAAATTACTTCTTTCAATTAATTAATCTTTTTATGTAAGGTTTTGGTCGAAATGAAAAAGGTAGTGCCACGAGCGGGATTCGAACCCACGACCGTCGGCTAAATACGCCGCTGCTCTACCACTTGAGCTATTGTGATTAACTATTGAGATAATCTAGCACTAGATCAAGCATGCCCAATTCATTCTATAACATAAAATAGGACTTATGACAATGAATCCTGATTAAGGTTTTTTTTCTTCAAAAGCTCGACGAAGGAACTGTGTTACTTCTAATCGGCCACATGTATAATCGTTTTTTTAATGTATACTAGGGGATTATTCTCCGTTTGTTGACCGATATTTCTATCACTTTTTAACGTATCAAGAGTCATCGGCAGAAAACGTACTTCGATTCCGGAAATTCAGAGTTCCTCGATGTTTCATGTACAAGGATCCTAAGTTTCAATAACACTGCTGTGGAACCTTAAACCTCCGCGTTGGAACGTAATATAGTTCAGAGTGAAAAGAATTTAGAATAATAAAATAGAAGAAGAGGCTGAATAGATTTTTATTCATGACAAATAAAAGGGGTCGAGCACATCCATATGCAAGAGATTTTTTCTCTTTTCAAATAGCATTTCTCTCTCAAGAGGAAAACAATTAAACCAGCTAAAAAGTGCGCATATAAACCAGCGTTTTGATTGCTCCCGCTAGTTGAACGAGAATATTATTATCGACTCGGCATCGTTCTTAATGTCTGTTCCGTTCAAAGAGCGCCTATTTTCCTCCACTATATCCCCGGGAGCGTTTCAATCTGATTTTTACGCCATTCTTTATGGAGAGAATATTCAACCTTCATTTCTTGATCGCAATAAAACAAAAAAGGTCCGTATGGAATAAAAGTCGGGCCCATTTCCCGCCGCATGTTCTATCACACTCGCTACCTATATTGTTTAAGGCACGCAATTCTAGGAGGTAATTTTATACAAATACGCCTCCATTAACCTCACGAGATCCTTACGTCTACTGCGGAAGAAGTCGTCCGGATATTACTTCTGATTATCACATAACTCATTTTCGACCATCGTTTTAACATATTTTATTGAACTTTGGGGTAGGATGAAATAGCGGTTCGGTGAAACACTGTTTACTTTTTTATCTATGGAACTTATACGTGGTCTGTCTGTTCACACGCGTAAAATTAATCCGTTTATTTGTAGCCAAACTTTATCAACCATTTCCAGATACCTCGCCTTACTTAACTAATTACACCCTTTAACATAATAAAGTGGCAAGCACACACATGGGCAGGCAAAAATTTCCACCCACTTGCAATATAACTTGATTTGTATATATTTTTATATATTAATCAAAGCCTTACGTTTTTTAACGTTTAATAATTGAGTTTTCGTCTAAAAAGTTTAAAAAAATGTAAATTGCTAAGGAAAATGACAAATGAAAAAACACGGACAGATAAAATTTGTTTTAATTTTGTTTTAGAGTTTTAATTAACATTTCAATATTGCGTATTTCCTCCTCTTGCTTTAATCACATCTCGAAGACGCCTCGGCATACTTTCTACCAGTCTGGAAATGTGTCTTTGCTGGAGGTTAGCCCATTCTTCACGAAGAGTCCTTTCAAGGTCGTGGAGTTCATCAGGAAGTGATGTACTGCTCTTATTCATGTTTTGAGGTTACCCCATAAATATTCTGTTGAAGGTACTTTTGAACTATGCGAGCGACATGTGGAAGGCAATATCGCGTGTTAGACTAGGATTGTCGCCGATTTCACCGAACTCAAGCAACGCTCGATGTTCCAAAATTTCATCCACATAGGAAGTGGCCGTCAAAAACTTTCCTCGAACAACAACCAACTCTGTGCGATTCTCCATTGAAATTCCCGCCCACACCATCACTGTGCTCCATTGAAAAGATTGGCTCTGGGAAAAATTCCAAGCTTTGTACCTTTTATTCCGCCTCCTCCACACTCTTTCCCACCGTCTGGAAGCATAGAGCAAATCTACGCTCATCTGTAAAAAGTACAGCAGACCAATTGTCTAAAGACCAATGGCTGTGTTCTCGAACAAATGGTACCGTGCAACTCTGTGTGTTCTGGTCAATTCTGGTTCTCTTATGGGGCGAACTCTCTTTTTTCGAGCAGTTCGTTTAGAAATTTGGACACCTCGTACTTCCTGGAGCTGATGAATCGCACGAACAACAGTAAGCTGCCGGTTTCGCAAAATTCTCAAAGTCAAGAAATGGTCATTTTGTGGTTCTGTTACCCTAGGGTGTGCAGAACCGGGCCTTCTATGGTAGGACCCAGTTTCCTGAAAATGTCTAACGACGGTTCGCATTGTTTCGTAAGGAAATCCGATGGCAATAGCCGCATACTTGATGGAACGTCCAACAATAAGTGCCATACCACGCGCAACATCCTCAGCACTAAGTGGTATTTTTAAGTTTAAAAATTGAAATTAAGAAAACAAAGGTAGAAACTGAACAGTTTATAGCTTTCAGAATTCAAATGAAACTGAATAAACATTTTAAATTGCATAAAAGTAAACAATAAAAAAATTATCGTTGTTTTGGATTAAGGATTAAGTGTGTTTAACTCTAATTGATATTCCCAATTTTTCCATAGAATAAGCAAATATTTATTGATAAAAACAATGATGCAAATTAAGGACAATTTTTTTAATCTAGAAAATGAAAAAAAAAACAATTAGGCGGAATTTTTTGCCGGTCAGTGTATTTAACAATGTTTCACTTAATTAATATTTATGAAAGGTATTGGTCGAGATAAAAAAGTCAGTGACACGAGCGGGATTCGAACTCACGACCTTCGGCTAAATACGCCGCTGCTCAACCGGCTAACCACTCGACCTATCGTGACCTCTATCCGCTCGGGCACTAAGTTCCATCTCAATCTTACTTCTCGAATTTCCCCTCCTTTTTTGCCATTTTTCAAATACCTTTCATAAATATTAATTAATTGAAAAATGTTATTTGGTCAATCGGACCACGAACTGAATGGCATTTAATAATAATCAACCACACGTGTGTGTTGCTATTTTTAAAAAACTTTACTAAGGAATGATTTAGTTTTAGTTTTTGTTGTTAAATTGTGAATAAATAAAAGTAAAAAATGTAAGTAAAAAAATATTCCTGTCATATTTACGGAGACTTACATTCGGCCTCGTGCTTCCTAAATTAACCCTCCTAATTAAATAAAAGAGAGTTGTAGCACTGGCCGGTTTCTTTCCCCTCTGCCTACTAGTCTGACAGATCTGTCAGATTTGTATATAAGTATACGTTTTGCTCAATTTATATTTATTTAATACAGATAGCAATAAAACAAAAAAAAACTAACTAAAAACAAATTTATATACACAAACCAACGAAAATTTAATTTTTACGAGGTAACTCTATAACAAACTTTACAGGCTAAATGAACCTTTTACAATCTAAATAAACTTTTTCTATAAACTTTCGGGATAACTAGGTGTCCGCTTCTTGATTCCGTCGGTGTTGAAAATTCCCGCTTCCAGGAAATTGGAGGGTTCCAAATTTGGGTGTGTCCACGGTCGTCTAGGTCGATGAATGAATTTATTATTTTCTAAAGATCTAAAGTTGAGATATCTGCATTTAAGCACATCGTCACATTTTTCCCAGCTAGTCCTCGGAATACCTCGCTTACCCTAATCCTAAGTCTATCCTCATTAATCGGTATATGATACATAGACTACTTTAGTAGGAAGCACTATAATTTAGGTGGCACGCTTTGGTTATTGGTAAAAGTTCTTAACAAAATACATTTACAATTAAATCCTGAAATCAACTACAATATAATCCTGAAAGGATAATCTGTCCGACCATTACCAACGTTTTTTCCCATTTTCGGCTCTTTTCACCTCGAGGAAGCCGACTCCTTATACAAAAAGTCTTTCTATACCGACTTCCTTCCCCACCCCTTCAAAATCCAACGTATATAAACATAAAACAGCAATATCTCACTGGCACTCTCTACACGATACGCAAGAATGGCACAATTACGCAGAAAACAAACACTTTAAGTGATTAGAAATACTTTGATTGAATATAAAAAACATTTTTTTTTGCATTGTATAAATAATTTTTTTCCACATCCTACAAGTATTTGTTAAATTTAAACAATGTTTGTAAAT